TTAAGATCCTTCACAAAGCTTTATTAGACTTATGGTACCATTACATGGTATATTTAATGGTCTAAATAGGCTTGAATTGCAAGAAAAATTAAGCATTTTGTACATATAACCTGCCATTTTCACAAATACATAATATTACAGGACTCCAATAAAGCTTCATGAATATTCTGAGAGTGAAGCAAGCTTGAGAATACTTTACCGTTTCATTGATATGTGGAGAGCTAGCTCCGGATATTACCATTACAGGACATTTAAACTGAGGGGTTATCTTTTTCTTCTCAGGGTCCATTTCTCTCTTGATTCCAAGATCAGTTCGTCTGTATAGTACATAGTTTATATTAATTTGCCATCACCATTCACCTTATTTACTCTACTAAAGGTGCATCTGCTAAAGAGACACATGTGCCATATTTCGTCTACACAAATAGCCATATAGGAAATGCACAAATTTTTACTAATTACAATGGACACAATGAGATTCATACAGGTAACTAGCAACTTTCCAAGACTTTATCAATGTTCCAATGATTCCATCAACTTCTCCCAGATGATGGAAACGACAGCAAGTATTTGTAAGGATAATTTACAACTTTCTTGTCGTAATAATATGTAATATGAAAATAGAAAATATACATATCTAGACAAAAATCAGTCCAAAATCAAGTGAGCCAGGGGAACTGAGATTGGCACAAAATGTAGCAATTTATTTTCATAACATCAGCGCCATTTTCATTTGATAGCACCAATAAATTGCAATGTTCATAGGGATTTTCCCTAGGGAGTTTGTATGAATCTTGTTTTTTTAAGAGAAGAAACATGAGAACCTATTCAAAAATTTACTACCAATACATGGATGTAACATCTTTAATACTAAATCACTAAAGAACTCACTTGATGTATGTCTCAATAAAACTTGCCAAGTTGACTGGGTTGATATTCTTCAACATACTCTCTTTATACACATGCACCAAGTCATGATTTACTTCCAATGTTTTCTGTGAAATGGAGATACACATGGTACTGCTATGTTATTGGGTTTATCACAATCACTGCCATTGACAATAAAGATTTCATTTCACATACACAAGCACCAAGTCATGATTTACTTCCAATGTTTTCTGTGAAATGAAGATACACATGGTACTGGTATGTTATTGGGTTTATCACAATCATTGCCATTGACAATAAAGATTTCATTTCACATAAACAAGCACCAAGTCATGATTTACTTCCAATGTTTTCTGTGAAATGAAGATACACATGGTACTGGTATGTTATTGGGTTTATCACAATCACTGCCATTGACAATAAAGATTTCATTTCACATACACATGCACCAAGTCATGATTTACTTTCAATGTTTTCTGTGAAATGAAGATACACGTGGTACTGGTATGTTATTGGGTTTATCACAATCATTGCCATTGACAATAAAGATTTCATCTCACTAAACATTTTGTATTTCTTGAAGCCATACAAAATGATGATACTACAAACCTTTTCATTCGGTTTTAAGAATTATAAGTTTCAATTATTCAATATATTTGATAAATACAAATAGACATGTGTACTATACCTTGCCAAAATGATGCCACAGCAAGTAATCTTCAGTAAATTTTGTAACACGATTTCCACGCAAATGAAAAGAGGACACCTACAATAAACAGACACTAATCAATTTTTAAAATCTGTATACCGGTAATCTTCAGAAGTTGATAACATTGTATTATCTGCAACATTGAATTTTGATTAAATTATTAAGAAGGTACAGAATCTGGAATTGTCTCACAATTTGGTGGACTTGATTAAAAATAATAATAAGTTTTCTATAGTGATGTGCACTGTGTCACACAATACTGTGATTACACCTGAATGTTGAAAATTAATCACAACTGAATCTACAACAATGGTCAGTGATGTTAGGCCAATTAAAAAAAAAAAGGTACAACATTATACCAGTGTATCATGTAAATGCACGTTTGTGATTAATTGATGTTCTAAACATGGTCGCAAACCTGAGGTGCTAGATTGAGACATGTACCAGTACATCACATTTTTGGCATCACAGACCAGCAGTGACCTTTGCCACTGTCCTAACATATCTTAAAGATTTTTTTTGAAATTACGGGTTAAGAAAATCTACATTTGAATCAAGAATGTACCGGTAGCTGAAGAAAGGATTGGATAAAATCACATAAAACATGTGATGTCAGGGGCCCTTACCTTCTGGTAACCCCACTCCATCCATCCAGCTTGTGTTGAGATACAATTGATGAAAAACAAAGCATCCACTTTCTCAGGAAAGTTTAACTGCAAGAACATTAAAATAACTATCAATGATGGAGCGGATGTATTTTAAGAAATACACAAATGATGTGCATGTATGGTGTATAAACTAAACATAGTTGAACTCTGGTGACCTTGCCCTTTGTTATATAATATAATTCCCTTTATCATAGTTTGTTTCAATATAAATATGCATTGTCATAATTAGTTTTGAATACAAACAAGTTTTGGGGTTGAAACAACAGTGGGGAATCAGTCTACCGAATGACCTTAAAAGATGTAAATATCTTACAAAAACATTGGTGCCTTATTTGTTTAATTATTTTAAGGGACATAATTTCCAGCTTTATTCAAAGTAATTCAGATATTTTAGTATAAAAACAAATGCCTCATCGCAGAAAAAAAGTGCTGCATTTAGACGTGAATAGATTCATAAAACATGCAAGAGAACAGAAAATCTTAGCTGGCTTTTGTCCAAGTAATTTGTACAGGTGTCTGTCAAAAATAAATGATTCACTGAGACAAATATGAACTGCCTCATTGTGTGACTACTGTATTATATGAAAAGTAAAAAAAAAAACCTTTTATGAATAGCTATCATGTTGCAAGCTCTGCTTTGTATGCAAATCAACTTAAATAGTTAGTTGGTGTCCAGTGGAGAGAGAAGTCAACAGTACTGTTGCCTCCTGAGAATCTACATATTCAAACACTGCAATCTTTGTTTTTGAAGTGCGTTTTTATACTATCATTATAAAAACTCTATCATTCTGTTCTAATAGCTGAAACATATTCCTGTGAGTTTTCATTTGTCGAATGAACTGTTTGTCAAATACAGAATACATATATTTTAGTACAATTTTCTTTTCAAAATGTGGATGCAACGTTTTGCTTTTTATGTATTTTTTTATGTATTGTTTTTGATTTGATACCTTTGAACTAAACAGATTTTCTATTACCTCCAGATCTTGATCAAAGTTTGGCACCCAGTTCATAGGAGTGCTTACTGGTATATTGATTTTCTGACATCTTGTTTTCTGTAAAGATTTTATTGGTAGGTTTGCAAATGTGTATCAGACTGTGCAACAACTCTCTCCATGAGTTGGTTTTGAAACCCAGTATAGTATTCCCATGGGATTTGGGGGATACATTACTAGGGATATTATTACAAGATAAATGATTTGCTTCATTGAACACATACAACAATGCATATTTCCACTGAGATCAGTGACCCTTGATGTGTATCACCAGGAAACAGTCAAAATATTTTATCAGATTTTCTCAATTTTTGCATGACATTTTCATACAAAAACATCTGCTGATGTCATCTGCTGACAGATGGAGATGGTTGCCTGGCAACCATCAGCCTAGTGATCTGCTTCTGAAAAATATTTGAGTGTCTGATCTGTACTAAATCCATTTCTATAGAAACCCAGACGACCAAATTTATTGATAAGGTCAATATGGTCCCAGGTGACCTGTCTAGAATCCTGTAAAGATGATACAAGTCCTCTGATACTACTAATACTAATACTCCCAGAAATAGTCATGGTGTTGAGTGTTGAGATCCCTAATTTATTGTAAAAATCACCACAGCAATACAGATAATGATAGTCATAGACAAACTGATTTTCATCAGATCAAAGAGGTACATAAATGTACCAAAATGAGCCAATTACGAGTGAAAAGTACGGGTTGTACTTTTCAGAAAATAGCGAGTACGGGTGATATTTGTAGCGAGTACGGGTGACATTTGTAGCGAGTACGGGTGACATTTGTAGCGAGTACGGGTGATATTTGTAGCGAGTATGGTTGGTATTTGTAGCGAGTACATGGAGGTAATTTAGCGAGTACGAGTGATAAAATGTAGCGAGTAAGGGGTGGGGGGTATTGCGGGGTAAAATGTATGGGATTTATACAACAATTACGGGTGCAACAAAACACTCCAGTGAGAAAGAAAATTTCAGTGGCACGAACTGAAACTAGTTCAATCTAACGAACTGAAACTAGTTCCATCTTACGAAAACTAAATGGGGACGTGAAGCAGCCATGTTCAATTAATTATATATTCACGCAATTTGACCCCTATGACGTAGCACAATGGACGCCTTGTAAACTAAAGTGTCGCATAACTGACCAGACAAGTGTAATCTTGAAACTACAATAATAAATTGGCCTGACAAGAGTGACACAACAGTGTTAGTAATGACATTTTTGTCTAAATATAACCATAGACCTTAGAGAAATATGCAGTAAATAAAATTGTGTAAATAGGAGTGTGTATTTTGCGTACAGTCTATTGTGCACGAATTTTAATTATCCACAGCTCTTGAAAGCTAAGAATAAGCTAGTCACATGTATGTTCCAAATAATATTCTGCACAATAATTTCCAGGCAAAAACAAATCACGCATGCAGGAATACATTCAATTTGGCTTGATTTTGGATATCGGTAAAACAACGTGTTTAAAAGGGATCTATGTGTCACATAGAGCTGTCACCAGTACGATCTTCAACATGATCACACCTCAACGACACCGAGGTGTTAATCATGTCATAGATTCAACTAGCTTACTCAATAAAATGTACACTACAGTGAAACCATGTTATATTTAGACAAAAAGTGTTATTACGAACACTGTTGCGTCACTCTCATTAGGCCAAGGGGAATGGGTCTATTTATTTATTATTGTAGTTCCACGATTAGACTTGGCTGGTCAGTTACGCGGCACTTTTGTTTACGAGGCGTCCATTTTGCTACGTCATAGGGGTCAAACCGTGTGAATATATAATTAATTAAACATGCTGCTTCACGTCCACATTTAGTTTTTATAAGATTGAACTAGTTTCAGTTCGCACCACTGGTATTTTCTTTCTCAATGGAGTATTTTGTTGCACCCGTAATTGTTGTATAATCCCGTACATTTTTACCCCGCAATACCCTCACCCCGTACTCGCTATATTTTACCACCAAACCCCTCCCCCATACTCGCTACATTTTATCACTTGTACTCGCTAAATTACCTCCACGTACTCGCTACAAATATCACCCGTACTCGCTACAAATGTCACTGGTACTCACTACAAATATCACCCGTACTCGCTATTTTCTGAAAAGTACGACCCGTACTTTTCACTCGTACTTGGCCCGTTTTGTTACATTTATATATATGGATCAAAAGCAAAATATCCAATTTTTATGACGTTTAACAAAAACATTTGAAACTCAAAGCATGTTCATGTTGTATGATTTAAGTAAAATAACAGCCACTTACTGCAAATCGTGCAATGATATTAGCCCCTGCTCCAACACCAAAACCAATAAACCTCTTGAGGCTGAAATAACAAATACCACATTAAATTTAGTCCTGTGAAAAATTTGGTTGTGGCTCAAAGATATATTTTATATCAATTATTACTGATGATACATAATATAATTAAATATTAATATACATGTACCTACCCAAAATGGTTCATAACATCTAACAAGGTCTCAGATATTTCATCCATTGTTGGATACACAGATCTGGAAAAAAACAAATTAATACAATACTTTGAAAGATTATATGGGGACTAGTACTGACATATTTTATTTTAATTTTATTTTCTTCATTTTGAATCAGATCAAGGATTTGTGTGCATGCATTTGTCTCACTACAGTGCATCTTTCCATCAAGCAATAGTACAATCAGTCTAAGTTATGTGATAACGTTAAAAACAAACTATCATGTATATACACACAAGTTAAATTTCCTGAACTTGCAAAGTTTATACAAAATCAGTGATCAGCATTTTACTCAAACATTCCCATCAAACAGTTATATTTATTACTAAAGAATTGTATTGTATTTATAAATATTTTTCACATTCCACAGAAATTATTAAAATATTGTGTAATAAAAATTGTATTCAAAGCAATGGGAAAACACTAAACACATAAACCCTGACAGACCCAGCTCAATCTATTATTCTGAAAAGTACTCATTCTAGAGCTATTGGCTAAGACTAGAAAGAACTACAGAGCTACTGGTACATACTTATAAGGGGTCAAACATTATAATCAATATGCTGGATTGTTACTTACGTTGCTGGACGTGTATTTCCTCCCAATTCTTGACCCGGCGCATTCACATGATAGACGCAGAAATGTTTCAAAAGAGGCTCCATATCAATATAACTAAAGAAACCTTGAAACTGACTGACATCTGTCAAAATAATACACATATGTAGAACTGTGTTATTACAAATGAACCTTATGGAACTATTTTATTTGATGCGTCAGAATACATACCAGCGAATTGAGTGACAGATCGTTCAGCTCAGACCATTCATTTTGTGTCAAATGTATGCAGTGGGATAAAATAGGCATGGTTTTAATTCTAAGTCTGGTTAATAAAATGTGTTTGATACTGATAAAATAAACTCACGATTTAATCCAATATCATGGAAAGTCAATATGGCTGGTTTACTTCGATTACCATGAGTAGCAACATGAACTGCACCAAAAGATGTCTCTACATCTTCTTCCTGTAGAAGTATAAAATAACTGGATTAAAATAATACTTATACTGTTGATTCCAGTGAAATCAAATTCCCACATATATAAGCCTGTCACAAATGAAATACTGTAAAACATGTCTTTTTCGCAAGCATGTCTTTTTAGCAAATTCAGCGAGAGAACTGATTCGCTAATTCAAGATTATTATAAATTTGTAATGGCCACCAGACAACGTCTTTTTTCTCAACACACACTTTGTAAACAACACAAAGTAATTAGTAAACGTACTGACATGATAAATAAATTTTATTGAAAAGTAAATTGACACAAAAAAATAAACGTATTCATTGTGGTCATTATTTCAATGAAAATAAATAAATGAATAAATAACATAAATGAAGTGATACTGATATATAGTTTTTCTTCGTTTTTATGGAGGTGATAACTACGTATTTGTTTTGGCACGCGACAGACAAGTATTGTGAAAACAGGAAATCAACAATGACAAGAGAGATTCACTAAATCAACATTTCGCTATTACGTCATTTTACCACAATTCGCTAAAATTGCATGTCGCTTTTTCAACATGTTTTACAGTATTACATTGACGCATACACTATTTTTAAGTGTAATGTAAATGTCATTTACCATAAGGTACAATCTGATTATTACTACAAGGTAATTTATAACTTGCAGCAAGTGGTAATTGCAGGAGATGACCTTCTTATGTATAATTATATGTCTTTGTTGCCTAGCTACATTTGTAAGACCAATTGAACAGACAGAAATCCAAAAAAGATAGCATTATAATTATAATGGTCATGTATTCTATGTGATAATCCAAATATAATGGCACAATGTACTAGGCAGGTACAATGCACTACAAAAATGGTTTACTTGGTTTTAAAGTGCTCAGGGTAAGTTTCCTCAAAGCTTTATTTACATAGCAAAGCTGTTTAGTGAAGTATTATCGTCAGAGCAACAGCTCTTCCTATCTCACAAATTTTGAGATTATTATTATTAAATTAGTTTCTTGGATAAAATAAATATACAAGCAGCATACGTGCTAACATTCAGTTCAACGCACAACTGAATTTTCAGTTTTTACTTTTTTATTATGATGATTTTATTCTTTATTGTAATTTTATCTATATCTCAACAGAGATTCGATAACAATAAAGTTATTACTTACACAATCATAGGACTGTAAGTATGTGAATATTATCAGCAAAATCAGTATTACTTTGTAAATGAAATAGCAATTAAAGAACACTATTCAAGTCTGATGATTGCAGATATTGGCAGTGGTACTGATAAATATATGAGATAACACACTCCTATTTCCATAATAATAAAGCTCTGTTACATGTATAGTGATTGTTTCACTTTTCACTCTAGGGGCATATGCTTGATAAATGGTTAGTGTATTTAAAAACAAACTAAATGTCTTCTTTAGTCAATTATTCTGAAAAACAGAAAATAAATCTTGAGCAAAAGTGATTTATTATCTAAACAGTATTGTTGACTAAAATGTAGAATAATTTATTTTTACTCATTACCTTCTCTATGCTAACTAATATTGTTTTTTTAAAACATATTCAAGCTAAAATAAAACATTATCTACAATAATGTAATGTATTTGATGATCTATGTATGATGGCAACGTCACACTGCAACAATGACCACAATAACACATTTATCACTTTCACAATTCAAATTTTACATACATTAATACAAGCAGATACAGTGCAAACATGCAGACATTAATTTTGAAATAACATTCATAAAATTATTATCACTAACCTTAAGCTTTGGTTGAGATCCAATTTTAAAAAGTCAGACAGACAAAGAAATAGACAGACAACAAAATGAGAGAAAAAGATGAAGCGATACAAAGCCTAATTGCATTTTACCCCAGCCTGTTTTATATGATGTCGTGATAACCTTTAAAGCAGGTGAAAGGGTAAAGAGATTTCATTGCTTCACACCATAACTTTGCATTAAACATGCACTTTAACTCTAGAACAGTAAATATTTTATTAGACAGATCATGCCTGAGTCACAAATAGGATTAATTTATCAAATGGAATTGACTGCAACATGGCTCACAGAACAATTTAAGTAGAGGATTATTGAGATTAGAGTAAATTTAATTTGAGAATAATATTTAAAACAGAACACATTTTTGAGTATAGTATATATGAATTAAGCTTTATACACATCAAATCTCATAATTTGAAAAAAATCAGCAATTTTAAATGAAAGAATTGACAAATGTATAAAAGATGTAAATAACATTATTAAAGTCTGGGTCATAAATATTATGTATTGATACAATGTATGTGTTTCAAAACATAGTATATTGAATTATTATATACATTCATTACCAGTATAAGCATAAACACTGTTTGATGCAAGTTTGTGGACACTATGAGCGAGTCCTACAATTTTTTTAAAAATATTATTTAGACTGTGTTGGCTACACTAAAATTTTCCAGCTCTACCTCAAGTGATATCGGAAATATTTTAAGACTGTGAGTGCCCACAACCCTGCCTTCATACTTTATTGCAGCAAATAAACAAATTACCAGACAGTGTTAAAAAGATAGAACAATTAATAGCTTAGCTTATCAAAGCTGGATAATAATCAAAATGTGTTGTAAATATTAATAAACTTTTCAACCCATATTTTCCCTAAACAGAATCACACAGTAAATTTGCTCCAATGCAGTATTCAAACACATTAAATCATAACATGTAGAGTAATAACTGTTGGGGATGTATGGAAAAGAAGTCTGTTTTAGGTCACTACATATAAAGGGAAAACACACAAAAACTTAAGTAATTAACCTTAATGAATCACCAATATTTTTTTCCACAATGTACAATCTCTGTAAATAATACTATTTCATGAGTTTTAGAGAATTTTACTGGGGTCAATCCTTTACACAGTGAGTCATCACTATGACTTTTGTGAAATGTATAACTTGCAAATGATTCAATGATGAAAGATTAACCTATGTACTTACTCCAGGTAATGACCCACTAGTATTTGCCAATAATGGCTGCTCAGACATTTTTTCAATTGACCTCGCTTGAACATCAGAAACTTGGACATCATTCAGTTCTACATCATTCAATTGTTCCATTGTGCTGAAAAAAAGGAATGAAGAGGTTCTCTGTGAAAGATGAATTCTCAGCGGGATAAAATCATTTACAAGCTTGTGAATATATACACAGTAGTGCATATAAGGTTAATGATAATGTGTCAAAAAGTAAACAAACACACCTTGTGATAACTTGAAGAACCTGCATGACACTGACACATTTCATTCTGACTTTTGACACAATATTTGATTATTACTGTAAAATCTGTATTAGAAGCTGCGGCTTCTATTAAAATGGTACAATGCAACAGAGGGAATGCGGCTTCTATTACAGCATCTACACATATGAGAAATGATGAATTTTTGGTTCGCAATAATTCAAAAAGAATGGGTGCGACTTCTATTGGGGATGCAGCTTCTAATACAGATTTTACAGTAGTATTGTGGTAAAAATATACCAGCTCTCAACCAAGCAAGTGAAATATTGGGAAATATTACTGTTATGTAGATTTTTATTGTATGTTCTAAATTCAGTATTATATACAAATGTACTCAAAAATATAAATTTAAATATAAATTAAATAAATGTAGTATTGGGTAATTATCAATAACTGTATTTGCTATGTGATTGGCCTGTAATTATGCTCAAGCTTGATCAAGCTTACAAAAATACAGATTTATGTTTAAAAATTATGATAGTGATGATGACTGATCGGAATAACAACTGCATTGGTATGGAGTTCATCGATGTACTGCCAGATGGGATCCTATTTTGAAGCAAGAAGTCCTTCAGCCTGGGCATGGAAGTTTGTAGGTCCCTAACACATTGTCAGTTGAGGTTTTTAGCAGTAGTCAGCAAAATTTAGTTGAAATTCCTATTCAATTTTGGGTAACTTGGCAAAAAATTATATACAGAACGAATGTTGATGTATTACACCATTTATCAACTCTCATTATTATCATTATTATTTGGTGTTGATAAGACCATGAATTCAGCCCAACAGTTACCGGTAAATAGATTATTTATTAGAGATGCCAGGGGAACCAACATTTGGAAGGTAAATAAAAAAAATACTGCATTTCAAATTCTAACACGAATTGAAGTTGTGTGAATTGCAAGAAGAACACAAAATCGCAAGAGAAACCTACATTTATAAAATTCCTAATGTATATTAGTTATAGTCTATGAATTGGTTTGTGTTCATCTCACACTGTTCTTGGTGGTAATCTTGCTTATTCGTAAAGCAATTAATATGCAAGTTTTAATTTGTTTCTGAAGGAAAAATCTAGCGCATTTCTGTTTATGAACGAAAATTTGCAAGCACTCACTGTGTTCTGTGGCTATATTGGTCAGAACTAAGTTTGATTGCCATGTACAGGATCATTTTCATGCATTTGCAAATCGAGAGTTTGCTTCATCGAATATTACCGTACATTATGTAAGTTACATATCCTTATCTTATGAATCCTTGGCGGTAAACTACTGAAATCATCAGAGGGTTTAGTATGGTAAATTGTAAAGACAGAAAATAAGAACAGAAAATAAAAAGTCAACCCACAAAATGAAATATTCTGTATAAATAAAGTATCAAGGGCGAACATCTTCCGGAAATGGATTGTAGGGACTAATGATACTGGTGGCACACCCCTATATATTTGCCAATATACTACGGTCAGAGAGTGGTTCTCATCATAAATCTACTATTTATTGAACAAATACACATCATCAATCTGCGATATTATAAATGAAAATATTATAAAAATATATATTATGACATTATATATTATAACAGGTTTTTTTTTAAAAAAGAAAATTTGTTATAAAAATGTAGTGTTTATAATATCGCAGATACATGGGAGCATGGGGTTAATTGGTGTGAACTCAGTCTGCCGAGGCCTGAGTCTGACTGCGATTCAATGTCTTCGTTCAAAAATACAAACAAATTACCAAAAAAAATGAATGACAAATGTCAGTATTCAACTAGTCTGAAAAGCAATAAAGTATATTCGTCAGTAGATAACATAAAATACTCACAAAAACAGCGAAGAATCTATATTATAACGATGCGACACAATTCAGGAATCAACACGATTTAGGTTTACGTACGTAATGAAATATTGTAAACACAGTGGGTCAAATGACCCTTTAGTACAAGCTTCTTGATTGGCTAAGATAATGCAATGACGCACACTTTCGGGTTGGTTAAAACAGATTTGTTTCAGCTATTAGCCAGATTTCATGATAATTGTGTAGACTGAATCATATATATATATAAGTAACAAACAAAGAAAACAACAAGCATGAAGATAATTTCCATTACAAATACAAAAAAATTAGTGAGAGTTGACTTTGAAAAATAGCCAATAGGAGAGTTCATTTGTTAAAATTCTCTACCTAGCGACGAGTGAGGGCGCCGACAGAATAACCTCGATGCAACACAAGCAACATGGCTACTGCATGTGTTGGAGCAAAAATCACCCAAATTTCTGTGCGCCTGCTATTGCCGCCTTTATCGTCAGGAGCTAGGATTTTAACATCAACCAGACTGTTGCATACAGGATGTGGAGGACTCAACTTCCACGCTACGCCTGCATTGCTCGCAGAGCCTCCAAAGAAGAAGAAGAAACAACGAGACATGGCCAAATTGGACGAAGCCAGGGAAAAGAAGAGACAAAAAAGAGTTGATAAGATGCTAGATAAGATGGGGCCACCGGAATTAAAAACTGTTGAAGAATTTAAAGTGGATAAAAAGCTTCTAGAAAAATCCAGGGAAAGAATTCTTCCAGAAATAACATTCGAGGAAAGTGAAACAAGAGCGCTTTTACAGAAAGAATGGTCTAAATATAAATTTGCTCAACACCTCCGTGAGACTAAAATAATGGAAAGATTCAGAAAATCTCAGGAAAAAGCTCTTCAAGAACTTAAGAAAGAAAGCGTAGAACTTTATGAAAAAGCCATGCTTGTAGATTCCCAGTTGTTAACATTTGAAGTGAAAGGACCTGTGAACACGCCGTATATTAAAGGATATGATAGTCCAATAGGAGAATATATTGACATTTCTAAAGATGTGAAGTAATAATTATGCGCAATTTATAGTGTACTCAGTACACTGGAATCAACAAACTCGTGTTCATAAATATCCTTTTGAAATCAAAACAATTTGTAGATTGGCTTGGCCAGTACCATTGCAACATTTTGTCAGGTACTAGTACTCCACACAACAGCCGTCATAGCACAACTAGAATGTAACTACCATGTGAGTTTATAAATAACTCGTAATGTACGTGGGTAATTGGACTTGTTGATTCCAGTACGTCTTGCTTGAAATAACAATTTTGGTTCGTAACAACTGACAAACACAAGTCCACAGAGTGTTCAATTACGGAAAAGTTCAGTCATGAGCAGTTGCCATTGTTACCCCATGATGTACAGTTTCATCCAAATTAGATATGAAATGAACACTATTGAAATGACAAGATGTGATAACATTTGTATAACCAAGTTCCACCATTTGTTCTGCAAATTATAGCATTGTTCAATGTGCATTCAGTCACCATGAAATGGTTTGATGGTGAAGACAGTAAATGAGTGAGGTTACATATAACATAACTTTGCTGGGACACAAGACAAAAAACAAACTGAAAAGAATCCTGACTATTTCTAGAAATATGCATGTATTGTAATTTCTCCAGATCATTCTATTCTATACCCCTTGTCTACTTATCAGTCTTTGGTTCTGTGCATATAACAAAACTTGTTTATCAGAAGACATTATTATACATCATGTACCTGTCAGAACTGTCACAAAGTTGGTTCATCTTCCAAATGTACAACTTTGTATACCGTGTGAAATGTAATAACCAGAGTACCATATTTGTTCTATTAGTAGTGTATGCACTTGTGTAAATGACAGCGAGTGTCTATGGCTGAAAGAAGTAAATATTTGAATGATCCAGTATACAATTGATATATTGGAGATGTGCTTCTTATAGAGCAAATACGGTATCAGTATATTGAAATGTCATTATAGGATACTCTATATGTTAAACATCTCAATAGGCATACTACGGCAGTTGATTTTCATACTGTAGGATACTTTATTTTGGCTTGGAATTTATTTTCGCTAAAGGGATGATTTCGTGAAAATAAAATCCAGCGAATACACTTTTTTTCCTATATTTCATATTAAACTCAACAAAAATCAGTGAAAATAAATTCCATACAAAACACCCAAAAAGCCCTTTCAGCGAAAATTAATTCCAGCGAAAATAAAGTGTTCCACAGTATCCAACTTGTGCATCTTTGATTATTGATAGAATGAGATCATAATTGAAGTAGACTTTATTCCTTTATACTGTTAATGCTTGGTTTTGTAACAAGGTTTTATTTTTGCTGTTATGTGAAATCCACTATTAAATTCATGTGAACTTGTTTCACCATCAAATCCAAGAATTGTTAATGGAGTGAATATATAATCCAAATAAACAGACTGAGTACCCACTCTCCTACTGCCATCTGAAATTACAAATGTGCCAAATCATTATTTGTACTACCAGTATATACGGTACACACTGGTCTTGCATGTCAGTGTTGCTACTGTATATGCGGTTATTCAATTCATTTATCAAATAGGAAGAAACAAACTTCATAAAACTTTACATGTCAATTATTTCTGAAGATACAAGGATGTTACCAGTACCCGGTACATTATGGATGAGAACTAAATGTTTTTTTTTCAATATTGCATCTTTAAAACACTGGTATTTGTGTCCTGTCACATTTCACTCATCAAAACTAATATTGCCAATGCCAGCTGGTAACTTGCTGTCTGGGGAAACACTGGTCGTATCTAACCGGTGCTACCCCGGTACTAGTTTAGAAGATATAGCAAAGAACATTTAGTGCCAAAATCTGTAATTTAAAATTTTGGCATAGTATGTGGACTTTCAATTCACTGTCAAACATGTTCCCATAGACCAAAATGAAAACAATGTACTTTTTTTTTTTTCACACTGTATCTAACTAAAATAATATCTATTTTCTTTCTTCATCCACTCAGCATTCTATCTAAAATAGAGAGAATGAAGTGTCTATGCAGAATATGGCAACATGACTCGGCCGTTACACTTTGTGTAGACACATTCCCACGAAATCAAGACCAGCATATACTTAATAATATACTTTTATTTTGTTGTAAAATTATTAAAAGCTTGGAAACAGAGAACTAGAAATATAAGACTATGAAACAATACAGTGACAAAAGCTAACAGTTAATGCACTACAAAATGTGAGTGGAAAACAAATTAAGGCTGAAATCAAAATTGAAAACCATAATTCTATGCAACTGATACGATTCTGTCAAGATCTTCCAGCAACAGTAAAAACAAATGATATAAACTTTCATTAAAACGTGTTCATCTGGTACAAACTTGAGACAAAAAAAAAGGTTTATTGCACCAGTAATGAAAGAAAAAGTTCACATTCTAGAAATCAACTGCAATGGCTAAATTAATGATTCTACAGCAATTTGTTCTGTGATAAATATACCGAAATAATTTAAATATTACACATGTGGGTGATACAATAAAGTCTGTACTTACACATGGTACTGTGAAACTGAACTACAGTTACCATCCATGAAGAGGTTATTAAAGCTAAATAAAGTTATTTTTTTTTTTTTACATTTTCTATGAGTGTGAAACCAAAATAGAAATGAAGATACAAGATGGTCAAAATCAACAGACAGATGGCAAGTGGTAGATTGCACTACAGCCGTTTCAACAAATTTCTAACTTCAAAATGTTGTCACCAATGTTAATACACTTCAGTAATTGGTATCTAACTGTACTAGAAAATTATATGGCTCAGACTGTTATCAGTTTTGCATTGAAGACAAACTGTTTGTGCCGGAAAGAGCTTTAGTCTGAAGTGAATACAATAGACTTGATTTTCACCATATGAGCAGAGAGACTGACTCAAGATATTTATTTACATCAAATGAGAACTCATGTTCTGTGTTTGTTATCAAGCAGCTTGTATTGGACATACAATATGCTCCGTGTTCATTTCAGTATGCAAAGCATGCAGTATGTCAACAGTGTTGTACATACTGATAATTTGAACAATGTTAGTAAAATACCTTGTAAAAGTAAGTGTATGAATATATTCAAGAAAACATTTCTTTCAAAGTTCTGTTGAAAGTACTGTACATCTACTGTTTAACATCTTTTAGACAAGTAAAAGGAAAGAATGACGATAGATACAGAGTATGTAGGAAGACAATTAAGATTTAAACAAATTATTTTTTCTTTTGTACATCTTTACTGTATTTTTCATGAAGATGTTTTTTGTACGCTAGTTGATTTTCCCACAGTGCAGCAGCATTCACATTTAATGGACTGTCATTGTTAGGTTCTGAAATTAAGAAATATAGTCCAATGTTAGTAATGTATCATTCCAGTGTCACGCACGAGTTAAGGGAATATCGCTACCGGTAATACTATTTTGACTAATTTTTTGAAAACATGGATGATAGACCTCAAGCAGTAGGTTATCTATCCAGAGATTTATCGAGTATAATACCGTGCTTACCTGCTAGTAAACTTTGTATTGAGAGAAGAATCGTCCTAACATCGTACAATGCTGACCATTTCTCTTTTAGAATATCAAGACAAATATTACCATGTTCATCAACATTTGGATGATAGCAAGGAGTTACAAACTTCACAGCTGGAGGGGAATATGAATAATTACTAGGAAAGTCTAATGATAACTTGTAAGACAGACCTTCATATACCTGGAATGAATGAAATAAGAAAAGGAAGGTTGGTGTGATATTTCTAAGATTTTCATTTAAAGGCAAATCATCTGAACCATTAAGCAACTCTTGCCTTGCACTGTAAAAGGGGCTTCTGTAAAATCAACAAGTCATGACATGGCATGGCATAGTCCCTGTTAGTTCAATAGAAAAACAAAACTGTAATGAGTCTGTATAATGTAGTTGTGATAGTGATTAGACAATGCATGTCAGAGACACGACTCTAAAACAGCATTTGCATTTGGTCTTGTTATATATCTGTGTACCAAGAATAACAATAGCTGTTCCTGTATAACATAGAACGAAATGCTGGCTTTTTAATCAGATTACCAAACAAATTAATGTGCATATGTCTGACATGATGTCTGATGTTTCTATCAAGTTTGATTGATCAAGGATGTTAGAAATGTAGCTTTGGAACAGCGTTCATTCAAACAAAATGGCTGCCAGTTGGCAATTTTAAATCAAATCTCGAAAACAAAATGACATGCATCAAGGTCCCATAATTTTCAATGTGTATGTACCAAGTTTGCACAAAACCCCCTGAATAACATTAATATGGGAATCCTTTGGTCATCGTGAATAAGATCATCAAATTAATGGATGTGCACATATATTCTAATATATATGATGATGAATATGATCGGCAAAGGCACATCTTGAGATACAGGACCCACAGACACAAAGAAGTCAATCTATAAAAACCTGAAAAATAGAAATTTTTGAAGATGTATAATGAATATATAAAATTTGAACAATCATTCAAAGTATGTCAGATGTGGCACTAGAATCCAATCTGAAAAACACTTGCATCAATGTATCGGTAAGTACCAAGCTTAAACAAAATCCATCTGTAAACAGCCAAGAAATGCTTGATTTCAATGATTTTTCAGCACAATTTTGAATCAGATCTTGAAACAAATTGATGTGCATATGTATAATATTATGTATGGTATACGTGTGAAGTTTGAATGTAATCGGTCCAGGCATGTCTAAGATATAGCTCCAGATGCACAATCGCACAGAGGTCAATCATAAGTTTTTCAGTCAGTGTCTGAACAGGGACCAAAAAAGCCGAAAATACAAGAGTAATAAATAAATAGTAGTAAACAAATAAACAATCAGTAATAAATGGCTCTGATAGTTGCTAGGGATATTCTAGGAAACATTTCACTGCTGAAGTAGATTTTACTAATTGGGAGGTCATAGTGGTTTTAACAGGTTGCTAGGCAACTATTTCGGTATCATGTGGTTCACACTGACAAAAGTAACCTAATCATTACAGAAACGAATCAATTTGCATAAGAGGATGCCGAGATGTGAACTGAGATGTAAACTCACCGTTCCTTCAGCTCCTTGTATTGTTCCTATCCATCTAAATATGTTGTCACCATCTGGAAACGCTGAGATACCTTTACTAGCATTCATCTATTGTACAAAGATGATGACATTGTATTAGTTATAAATATAGGAATTATGCATAGACATATTACTCATCAGATCAATTCACCACTGAGTGACCGAGTTATAGGAATTATGCATAGACATATTACTCATCAGATCAATTCACCACTGAGTGACCGAGTTATAGGAATTATGCATAGACATATTACTCATCAGATCAATTCACCACTGAGTGACCGAGTTATAGGAATTATGCATAGACATATTACTCATCAGATCAATTCACCACTGAGTGACCGAGTCAGATCAATTCACCACTGAGTGACCGAGTCAGATCAATTCACCACTGAGTGACCGAGTTAAACAGAAATAAACATTTTTAAATTAAAAAAAAAAATAAATAATTGCAATTAAATGTAACAGAAATTGAAAAATCTTTCTTTGAAAGAAACTGTAAAATTAATGAGTAGTGCATTTGCTTTATTTACACATTGTTTAGGGATATATATAGTATTGGCTCCCACAAGTCCTTTATAGCTCCTGTGTTTGTGTGCAAATCGCACAAAGAAGATAATAAGTTTGGCTTGTATGTGTGTGTATGCGTGCGTGTGTGTATTATTTTTGATCATGACTTGATCAAATTTAGTACATATTAAGTACTTTGGGGTAATGTGCTGACATAATCAGTTTTAAGCCATGTTTTTTATATAAGTAGCTAATTTGCATATTAATTTTCTCATTTCAGTCTGTGTGAGCAAAATCTCAAGAACTTCCGAGTGGATTTTGATCAAACAAAATGTCTGGTAAGATGATTCAAATATACACTAGAAATATCCCAGTTTATTTTGAAAATAGGAAAAAGTTAAAGCTGTCGACAGTCTCACATAATGCATTGTCTTTGTTAAAAGATTTCATTGAAATTTGTTTTATGCATTGAAGCTACACAACGCGACAGAAAGCCTATCCAATGTGATTCAATTTGCAAATCCGTTTGCACATCTATTATGTTAATTCTATTATGTAAATTATCCAAACTGTTAAAAAGCCTGAGGAGAACACTGGGTTTATTCTGTGAACTGTTATTATTAATTTTATGTTTGAGATTTGTATCTCTGGAAAACGATAAAATTAAAAGATTTAGCAAGCAGTTGCCAGTTGCAATTCCCACACATAGCCCTGAATGGAGGTTAATTTAGATAATACAAATGTCATTGTATGCTT